AAAAAAAAAAAAGTGAGTATCATATGCATCATGACGTAATTTATTTATTTAGATGTATCAAATATGAATGAAAAGGGATAACATTACTTTAAAAATTGAAAAAATCTTTAATATCATAAAGGAAAGGTTTTAATACGCATATAATGATAGTTGAAATAGATAATAGAAATAATGAATAATTAAGGTATAAAACTACCAAAAAATGATTGTTGAAACGTGTTTTTATTGATCTCTTCAATAAATATGTGTTCCCTTTTTATTTTACATGTATAGGAAAAATGTACACTTTTGACAACTGCCCTAGAACTTATCAAGCTACTTTTTAATCCAAAAAAATAGGTTTTCTTTATAAATAATTTGTAACATGGTCATGAGTTTATATCTTATATTTATAGCAAAAGTTGGTCCTTTGTTTGGAACGTAAGCAACACAGCGTTAATTAATTAAAGCAAGATTAAGTACGAGCTATTTTGTTTTTCTTTTATTTGGTCAGGAACTAGTCAGCAAGAGCTATTTTTAAAAAAACATTGGTTAGGAACTAGTGACATTTAAACGAACAGAGTTTTATTTTGGTTCCTTTCTTTTAATTAGTTTATTATCAAGTGTCAAAACTTGTTTCGGAATATCTAGCGGAGTTAGAGTTTATGGTGAAAAGTCTCACTCGATATATAAAATGTTCTCTAATAAAATTGACTTTATTATCGGTTTGAATCATTTGGTTAAAATTAAGGGTTTTAAAAATGGATCAAAATCGTTTTTTCAAACGATCAATGCATTATTTATAGTATAAGCAAATGATATATTGTATGAAATAACAAACTATTAATTTAAATTAAATATTATAGTCATAGTTTATTTTATTTGTAATTCGCAGCAAACATCTCATTCTTTTGCCATCTGATTTGGTATACAATTAGCCATTTTATACATTTCGGTATAAAATGTATAAAATGTGTTTGTGTTTGTATAAAGCGAGAGAAAAGTGTATATACAAATAAAAATACATATATTTTCTTCTTATACACTCATAATTATACAAATACAGATCTTATTGTACAAATTACAATGTATAAATAAATTTATACAAAACTAAACAATTTGTGTAAAATTGGATGTATCTAGCGAATTATACAAATCAAAAACTCCATAGCAAACATGAAATTTGCTATGGAGTGCAATTATGCAAACTATAGTTATAACATACAAATATGATTTTTATGTTTGCTATATGTGAAAGTTGTTCTATATAAAAAAGAACCTTAGGTCCGCCTACGTGGCGCCACCACAAATCAGGATTTCCCTTTTAATTTATTTATTTCCAAAACTAGCTTTCCCCTTTCATGAAAAATTGTGACATTTATGAAAAGTTATGACTTTTATGAAAAATTGCGATAATGAAGCGTTGCGACTTTTATAAAAAGTTGTGACTTTTATGAAAGATTGTGACCTTTCCGAAGGGTTACAACTTTTCCAAATAGTTATAATATTTTCGATAAGGCACAATAAACATTTGTTCACACTACTCTTTGTTGTCTATAAATAGAGGGATTTTCTCTCATTTTAAAACAACGAAAATTCTGAACTACTTCTTCTTCTTCTTCTTTACAATTAAATATTTGTGTACTTTACTCATGTTGAGTGACTCACTGACATCATTGCTTATGTTATAGATCATGATATGTGTTTTTGCAGTCACTAATTTATGCTTATGTTATTAAAGATAAATGATAGATGTAATAATTTTCATTTTCCTTTACATTATTAATATTACGTAATCCTGTATATAAGATACTATAGTGTTTTAGTTTTAATGACTGATAGGTTTTAAATATTACTTTATAATTTCGTGATATTAATTATCCGCGCAAAGCACGGGTAATTTTACTAGTGATATAATAATAACATACCTAGTATACGCTTTACAAAGTGAGTATATATATAATTAAACAATATTTTTAAAAAAAAAAATGAGTGGACAAACGGCTCCTTAGTTTCCGGCTGTTCCCTAAAAGGCAGTATATAATGTGTAGTATTCTAGAACCCCTAAGATGAACGAAACAGCCAAGACAATTATTCCATAATCCATATTGACAGTTAGGGGTGTTCATGGTTCGGTTTGGATCGGTTATTAATTAAAATTAAAACCAAATCAATTTAAATCGATTTTTAAATTTCTAAAACCAAATCAAATCAAATAAAAAAAATAACCGTCGGTTTGGTTAACGCCGGTTTGGTTCGGTTTGGTTAGATTTTTTCGGTTCAAAAGTAATAAGTTTGTTCTGGACATACGCATCTTGATAGATAAAAACACTTAGTACATGAATAATTCACAAATAAGCTATTACACGAACAAAGTGATTCATCCAATGTACCAAATTTTGGAAACTAAAAAAACTCATTGTTAATAGCATAAAGTTGGTTCAATATTCTGGAGATCTCAACATCTTATCAATAGACTTTTCAATAAAATTACACCTTAAAATATTGAGAAATTACTTCTACAAAAAAAACCAATATTTCATAGTCAAAACTAATCAATTACCATCTTCTTTAGCTTGAGCTTTAGATTATTCAATGTTGCGTTAGAAAATTTTATATAGAACAAAGAAAGTATGATCTTTAAAGTAATGAATATTGAGGGATTTAGACTTAACGTTTTTATAGTTGGGCTAAAATATAAGTGTTGGGCTTCATAAAATAGTAAAATTAAAGACTTAGGTTAATTAAAATTTATCAAAATACTTATATTTTATTTATAAATAATTGTAAAATATTATATATATAACTTCTCGGTTCGGTTTGGTTATTTTTGCGGTTAATTTTTAGTAAAACCAAAATCAAACCAAATAATATTGGTTTTTCAAAATTTAAAATCAAATCAAACCAAATATAGGTTTTTAAAATTGGTTTGGTTCGGATTGCAGTTCGGTTTGATTTTATAACCATAACCATGAACAACTCTATTGACAGTGGAGTGATAAATATTTTTTTATTCTTCGGGCCCGTTTGGTCATGTGATATGATATCATGATATGGTATCATGATATGAAATCATGGATGAAATTGAAGTTTTGTTTGGACATGCAATATGAAAATTTTGTGTTGTATATTTTCTCATAAACATAAAAATCTCATAAGTTGTAAAACTATTAAAATAGCTCCAATTGTTTATTCAATCTTATCAAATAAACAAAAATTTATAAAATCGCAAAATAAATTATTGCAAAGCTATTTGTTCTCCACTTAAGTAATTGTTTCATCTAACTTTAATTTAATTTTAAAAAAATTGAATATAAATTGTAGTGTACTAGTCTTTAATATAATCCTCCCACATAATACATACAATTTTCTCACGTTGAACTTGCATTTCTCGATCATGTGACCGAGAAGACGAACCAACATTGTTACTTTGAGCCATTTGTTGGTTAATATCACTTGCAACTATATTTTCATGCTCATAGACCATGAATATTTCATCACTTTAACAATCGGTTGGTGTGAGTTAAAGTGACTATATGTTGGTGAGAATAATAAATTTTAAAAAGTAATGATGTTATTATAAATTTTATTTACATATGAAATAAATGGTTAGTAGATATAAACGTGGGGTTGTTTTAACAAAATATAAACTTGTGGATCAATTTTTGTATTAAAAATATCTCAAATAATGATATGGAATTACCATATAATTCCATGTCATGGTTTTTGGAGAATATGGAATCACATCTCATGATATGGAATCATGAGATGGAATCAGTGTAAAATTGCATGTCCAAACGCTGATTCCATCTCACGATACCATATTGTGATATGGTATCGCATGGCCAAACGCCTACTTAATCAGAGATTTCGAGTTTGAGTTCTCCAGGTACAAAGTCGCCTTTAAAGGTACCAAATATTTTATAAGAAACCAAAAAAAAAAAAAAAAAAACTACTCCATATTGAATAAAGTCGTGTTTAGTAATGTTATTACTTTTCACCATATCCCATGTCTTTTGTTCCCAAAGTCATCACTAAACAAACAAATTCATTTCTTGTTATGACTCTTTCAAGGCATTTGTCATTTTCATCTTTTGTCCTTGAGAAAAGTCATTGCACGTAATAAACATACACACACTGTTGCTAAAATTAGGAACATTAACATTAATGAGGTAGATTTTGTAGCGTTTTGCAATTTATATGCTTTAGTATTATACTTCCTCCGTTTTAATTCAAGTGTCTTACTTATTTTTGTTTTTGTCTGTCCCTCAAAAATTCATTTCTTGTTATGACTCTTTCAAGGCATTTGTCATTTTCATCTTTTGTCCTTGAGAAAAGTCATTGCACGTAATAAACATACACACACTGTTGCTAAAATTAGGAACATTAACATTAATGAGGTAGATTTTGTAGCGTTTTGCAATTTATATGCTTTAGTATTATACTTCCTCCGTTTTAATTCAAGTGTCTTACTTATTTTTGTTTTTGTCTGTCCCTCAAAAAGTATATCTTTCTATGTTGAGTAAGTTTTCCAATTCCAACAAAATTTAAGTAACTACACACATCCTTACTTTAAGAGAATATTTATTTTTCAACTGTGTCAGTCAAACTAAGACACTTAAATTGGGACAATAGAAATATCATTTTTGTACGTATAAAACATTTGAATTATTTTTTTCTTTTCAATTTATAAGTGGTAATACGAAATCATTTCTAACTCTACATCATTGGGTTGCCGTGTTGAAATATACAATTGTGGAACGGTTAATAGTCCCTGATTCTAATCCATTATTCTATTTTTTTCTTTAGTATTATAGATACAAAGCACCAATCACTCGGGGACAAATTCTACGTTGTTTTCACATGTGATTGTCCTTTTCACACATTATTCTAGTGTAGACGAATGGATCATACATTTGATAGGTTCAATTCAATTGAATTCATCATTTTTGACACGGAATACAGCTGAAAATCACCAATCTATTGACAAATATTAAATTCCGAATTCATAATTTAAAATACAATGGTAAGTGTTAACGACCTTAAATGTTGAACAAATCAAGTTAAAATCTTACATCTCTGTTTGACGGTAGATTAATATATCTCCATCAGTTATCAATGATCAAGTTCTAATGTTCTATCCAGAAATCATAATCTGCAGCAGTAGTACATTTTAACTTGCCTCTTTACGAGCAGGGACGTTGATATGATTATGGACAAGGGCTTGGAAACCTCGAGTGGACCTTGTTGATCTCGGTAATTATCTCAGGACTGATGTTGACCTTACATGCAGCAAGAACCTCTTCAAGCTGCCAAACTTTTGTGGCTCCAAAAACAACACTAGCCACGAGAGGGTGTCTCATAATGAAGGCTGCCCAAACAATTCAAAGTCAAAAGATATGTAGTGTATATCAAAATCTGTATGTCACAGACTCAATCAAATGACTACCATGCATAATATTTCAGTTTTTGTTCATTAGGAAAATAGCTAGAAAGGCTTATCTATGGTCAGTAGTGGATAGGAACTAGAATAGGAGTTCGGAAGAAGATTGGTCATACCAATTGCAAGAGAAACTGGATGAATGCCATATCTGTCTGCAATCTCTAGGTATGACTGCAAAAATGAGTGAAATTCATGATTACAAAGGTAAATGTCAATTGTATGTCATAAGAAACTAAATAATTTAGCGAAGAAAATAGCTAACTACAGGAACAAACATTAGAGGACATATTTTACAGTCTTAAAGAGAAAACGTATTCAACTATATCACACCCATGAGAAAATTTGGTTCTTCCAGAAGAGTGTTTTTTTTTCCCCAAGGATTCCTAGAAGTTTGAGTTTTACATGTCGAGCAGAAAATGAACAAAAAGATATTTCATCACATGCACACACCACATATTAAGAATTGCATCATTTTTGTATAAATAAGCAGTGGTCATTCTCTGCCTAAAGAGGTGTATTTCCTGACCTCTATATAATTGAGTTAAGCAAAATGGTAAGACAGCTTTAGGAAGAAGAATTTCCTTACTTTGGCAGCATATAAAACATTAGATTTTGACAGGTCATATCTGGACTCCCCTTCCTTATATCTCCCTACCAGAAGTTAGAGATTAGTATAGTGAAAAAATTTACAGGCATTAGTTAAATATTCCAATGAAACTGCAACCAGTCTGACCTTTAAACAGATTTAAACGAGCATTAGGTGGACCACCATCCTCGGCAAAGTACTTCCCAGAAAGTATGCCCATGGCCAGAGGGCTGTATGCCAACAAGCTTATCCTAGAGACATTCAGCAAGAAGAAAGCAAAGAGGTCATTACCAGCAGTCAATTCCACAAATATTTCAACTTAACAGATGAGCCAAGTTCACAACAGTTTTTTTTTCTCATTAATTTGACAACAGGCAGGTTGTTCTTGCAGAAAGCAGCCTCATTGAAGAGAGATTTTATTAGTTATATCCCTTTGTTATTCCCCTAGAAGACCGATAGGTTCAAATCCTAAAAACATGTTGTTTTTTCTTCTTCTTTGTTTGATTCTCCGAAAAGGGTACATGAAAATCTCTATAGATATGCTCAGATCAAACAAAGATGAAAAGTAGCAAAAGAATCATGGTCAAGGTAACTGAAACAAGTCAAGTGAGCTCCAAGGACAGTCATCATATAGTTCAAACTAATGTTGCCTTTGCAGGAAAAACAACCAGACGCAATGACATGCCAGTATCACTAAAAATAGAAAGCTTTCACTGTAGCTATAGAGGATGTTAAACAGTCCTAATACAGTTGAAGCATAATACAGGAGTTCCTAGATGATTGTTGAACAGTACGAATGCTAAAGAGAGATTGTTGGGATCAACAGATAAACATTGTGCTTTTCTGACACGTTCCTTTCAGTTTCCTATGATCTTGTCAGCAAATTTAGGACCAGTATCTGTTTATTAGAGCCGTCCATGCTTTGCAAACAATATCCAAGAAGGTTCACAATGCACCCTCTTCATTTGCACAAATTGGATGTTGTAGTACAAAAAGCAACACCGCATACCCAAATAAAATGCCTATCCCAAAGTTGTCCAGACAATCCAAGGATTACCTCTCATTGTGACAGCATTCGGCCATAGCTAAATCAAAATTTCGACATAACAAGTTGTACGCATTCTGAAAAGAAGAAGCCAAATCAAGTGTTATCTTATATTAGTGAAGAAACAATATTTGAAGGAGGCAAAGACAAAAAAGTCTCTACATTAAAAGAGGATTGAGCCAAAAAACACCTGAACAGACACTATTTGAAGATTCCCTGCTCTACTTTTGGCAACTTGTTGGAACTTCATAATGCCATATGGTGTTTCATTACTAAGGCCAATGTATCTGATCTAAAGAGAATAATTTGAACAGCCAATAGGAAATAGCGACCAAATTTATGAAGTTAACATCTCGGCCTTCATGAGGAAAAGTAATTAGTGAAGTTAGCATCTTTGCTGTCATGACTGACCTTACCAGCATCAACAGCTCTTTCTAGAGCATCAAGTTGTTCCTCGAAACATACTGGAGTATAATGTCGTAGGGGATCATAGTCAGTTTCTCCAAACATAGGAACATAGCTGCCAGAAAGTTTAACATGGTGAACATCAGAATTGACGTTGACAGTTGAAGAAGAAAACGTCTTAAGATATCTGTTTAAATTTTGATAAATGAATTTTTTTTGAGTGTTTACATCTGTGAGAAAACAATGCCACAAAATGTAGGATTTATCTACAAACCGATCAGGCCAGTGAATTTGATACAAGTCAATGTAGTCCGTCTTTACACGCAACAGGCTGCATCAATTCAATAAGGTACCTCATCAGACGCAGTACAAAAATATAAACCATAGCAGATAGAGACCATCTTCACAAGTACACTTTATTGTCAAAATCATGCCTCTGATGCAGTCAAAACAGAAACTGAATGGGCAATGTAAAGGTAACAAAAACCAAAAACAAGAATTTACTCAAACCTATTGTCAATAGCCTCAGTTATGTTCCGAGCATCCACGCTTTCTGGTCCATTTCGAATCCAAGACATTTGTCCAGATGGTCCACTGACCTATAACAACATAGTTGTGGAAGATATCAAAATGCTAGTGCAGTTGGAATAAGATCCCAGCTCCAAACAATAAAAACGAAGAAAAGGAAATATACTTATAACTACATGTTAGAAAGAAACTTTCACAGCCAACAACATAAATTTTACTCCTTATGACTCTGGAAAAGCAAGAATGTGTCTCATAATGCTACTGATTTCGAATGGCAACCAAGTATTGAATCGTGCCTCATAGACGGCTAGGCATAGAGAAGTGCTAATTTCTTGCATAATCAACTCCTTTGTCACATTTTAGTAATGCCAGACATATTCTGGAAGATCTAGCCTATTCAGCCAAATTATTCTAACTAGTCCTACACATCATATTCAAACATGCTGAGTCTTAAACCCAAATTCGACCTTCACGAATAGTAACACAGAATTGCATATCTTTCCTACAATATTCTAATCTTTAGGAAGAATTGCGGATCAGAGCTAATGAATAGAGAACCTTAGTGGCAAAAACAACACTATCGCGAGGGACTTTTCTTTCTCTAATCCAACGCCCAAAATACTCCTCACTTGTGCCATGAGTTTCTGCACGCTGGGGTACTGGATACCTGTTTTTCATTGATTTTATAAAAGCACAAATCAACAAAACATTCTATAAATCTTCTGCATCCAATATACTTCACAATTATAATTTGACTAATTTAGTATCCTCAAGAGGAGTAAATAAGGATTGACGATTACATTTCAGCAGAATCGAAGAAGTTAATTCCTGAGTTGAAAGCTTTGTCGAGGAGTTGAAATGATTCAGCCAAGGTGTTTTGCTCACCGAAAGTCATGGTTCCTGTGAGAATGACAAAAAACTCAAGGCCGTTAAAGAGACTGCATTCTCTGGATGTTATAAAATAAATACACAAAAGTTAAACCTAAACAGAGTCTGGAGACAGTCAAATCTGGAGCAAGGTTGAATAGAGGAACTGTAAACGCCATTATTAATGACTGGAGTTAAGAAACTCATAGAATTTGCAGAATAAAGCGAGGGAGCTAAAAGAGGATATGGAGAAGAGATAAGGAAAAAGAAATACTAAAGGAGAAAAAATGGAGATGCAGGGGATCGAACCCTGTACCTCTCGCATGCAAAGCGAGCGCTCTACCATTTGAGCTACATCCCCCTTGTATTAAAAGAGTAATCTTTACTAATGTAGTGTTGAAATACAGTTTAGTATTTGGTTCATTAGTGCTTTCTATGGTTTGGAAAGTTTATACTGTTGAAACAATTTTCATCAAATAGATCAGTCATTTTGCTTGTTGCATAATTCATTTGAGAAATCAATCGGTTCAGTTCGATTATTTTGAATTGATAAATCAATAACTTTTTTCTATTCGATTGCAGAAGAGTGTATTTTAATTTTCATGGCATTGTTAGAGACCATTTTTTATGAAGAATTTGCTTTACAGAGAGAAGATATTAAAGTCGAAGCAACATAAACTAGAAATTATAAGAAATCTATTAATCTTTCATAATCCAACAGAAGAAAATGAGGAAACAAACTTGCAATTCACATACGAAAAACTCCCAACTAATTTACTCTAAAATCAAAATTCACAACCCAATTCCTCCTACTGCAACACCTAAACATCTAAAACTCCTGTCAAACAGAGTTGATTTCACCTTTCCCTTTAACAATCTTCTTAGGAAGCAAATTCTGATGAATATTAGGCAAAACCCCACCATTAGCAATGGTAGCAGATCCCAACAACTTGCTCAATTCATCATCATTCCTCACAGCAAGCTGAATATGCCTCGGAACAATCCTGTTCTTCTTGTTATCCCTCGCAGCATTCCCAGCAAGTTCCAATAACTCAGCAGTTAGATACTCAAGAACAGCTGAGAGATACACCGGTGAACCGGAACCAACTCGCTGAGCATAACGACCCTTTTTCAAAAACCGAGCAATTCGACCCACAGGGAATTGGAGACCCGCTTTCTGAGATCTGGAAGTGGATTTTGAAGCTTTCTGGGTTTTTCCTCGACCGGCCACAGATTTGGTTGCAGTTGTTGAAGGCATGTTGATTGATTGATTCAAAGGAAGAAGAGAAGTTTTCTGTTTAAGAATTTGAATTTGCTTTACCGGTAGATATTTTTCAAAGTGAGTTTTCTTGTGTTTATATAGAGTTGATGTGAGTTGTTTGATTGGTTGTTTAAGTTTCACATGGATCGCCAACGTGGCATTTCTTTTTTGCTTTTTCTTTTGTTAGTTTCCATGCTGAAATATGATTGGCTAATTAGTTTCACTCGGATTGCCAACATGGCATCTTTTATAACTTTGATTGATTTTTTCTTTTAATTAAACAAAAAGTGTATCGGAAGATAAAGTTTTCCATTATTATTTTCTACTAACCTTAAATCTTAATATATACTTTCTGTCTCAAAATATTTATTAATTTTCGAAATCTAAGATAAAGTTAATTCTTTTTCTTTTTATTTGACCCTAAATAGTAGTTATTCTTGAATATTACAATCACCTCAATTATATGATACATAAATAAGGATAGAATAATTAAATATTTTTTCTAACTAATATTTTTATTAAAAAAATGTGTAAATAAAAAATGACAAGTATTTTAAGATAGAGGAGTTACTCTCTCCGAATCACTTTACTTGTTGTCTTAATTAAAAATAAATAGTCCAAATTAGTTGTTATTTTAGAGAATCATGCGACAGTAACTTTAATTGTCCTAAGGTATCAAATTTTTTGTCACATAAATGACGACCTGGCATTATTGAAGCGAAAATGATGGGTACGTTAATTGTATTAGATAGGAGATGCAGAACATATCTTAACTATTGGTACATTCGTTATATAATTGAATACTCTTTTCATTTTGCCTTTAATAATAATTATTATTGTAAGTAATAAGTATTGACTAATTAGCATAGAAAACTTAAATAAAGAGCACATACTCTAATATTTTGATTGCTGAGATTAACTCTTTTTTATTTATTAAAGAGAGATTACATAAATAATATTTATTGAAAAGAGATTAACATTTTAAATTATTAAAGATAATAAATAAGAATATGATAGTCAAAATATGTTCACATTTTTTACGGGAAATGTAAATATAAAATGTGACAAATAAAATAATTCAGAGAGAGTATTTCATATTGAGGTGCCGTAAGTTCCTTTAAAACACTTTTAACTATATCAATTAATTACCAAATACCAATAGTGGTGCGGCATGGATGAAGTAGAGACTTGCATTTGTAGTCTTGTGTGATAAAAAGGTACCACTAAACCTTAAAGGTAAATTTTATGAAGTGATGTTTAGACCGACTTTGTTGTTTGGGCGCAGTACTGGCTAGTGAAGAACTTCCATGTTCAAAAGATGCATGTTGTGAAAATAATGATATTGAGGTGGATGTGTGGGCATACAAGGAGTGATAAGATTAGAAATTAGGATATTCGGGATAAGGTGGAAGTGACCTCTGTGGTGGACAAAATGAGGGAAGCGAGATTGAGATGGTTTGGACATGTTAAGAGGAGATACGCAGATGCCCCAGTGAGGAGGTGTGAGAGATTGGTTGGTTATAGTAGAAACGAGAAGAGGTAGAGCTGGTTGGCCGAAGAAGTAATGGGAGATGCGATTAGACAAGACATGGTTCAACTTAAGGTTGACACGGCCTTAGATAGGAGGGTGTGTAGGATATGTATTAGGGTACAAGGTTAGCAGGCAGTGACGTGTTGTCTTGCTTGTCGAGGGCGTAGTTGTTTGTCGTCGCACTGGCTGTAATATTATAGTCGATTGTTTATTGTGTTTTGATGTTGCACTATTTTATTGTTTTTGTTCTCTTTCTCGCAGGATTTGCACTCTTTCTCTTGTTAGTTGCTATGTTTTTTTCCTTCACAATGTGTTTATCTCTTTGTAATTTGATTTGCTACGGTACTTGAGCCGAGGATCTTCCAAAAACAACTTCTCTACTTTTATGAGATAGTGATAAAATCTACCAACACTCTGACCTCCACTTATCTACAGAATATGTTGTTGTTACCAAATACCAATAATCCCAATTTAGTTAATAGATTCATTTTACAGTATCATAGCACACCCTCCAAAATCCAAACAAAAGTTTCACACACAATATTCTAATCAATATTTTAAAAGGTGTGGCGTAAGGTAAAGTTTTTTACTTCGTACAAGATAAAGACGTATGAGTTGTGATGAAGTATAAAAAATTTAAAAAATGAAAAAGTAAATAATAAAAGCCTAATAGTTCTAACTTCTAAGAGTCATTCAACTAAGACACAGAGACAAATAAACATGAAGATATAAATTTGGATCGTCTAGCTATTTTTAGAAGGATATTCAAATGATTTTAACCCTCACGATATTCTCAAATAATAGCATTTGATTTACTTTCAAGTCTCAATAATATTCTTCACATATCAAATTGTGAACCACCCATTATAAAAAATATTTGTTTGAATAGGACTGGTTACTTTAATCATGAATAACAATTAGTAATAAGGTTTTCAGTGACGATTTTGATTTGGGTTATATGACTTTTTCCTTATAAATAAAGAGCAATAAAATAAAGGATCAAATTAATAACAGCTATTAGTTGAGATGTTAAGGATCAAGCTGTTTCAATCTGCATAGTAGTAGTTGACCAATTACTTGATTTTTAATGAAATTGAATAATTGGTCATCAAAAAGTGATTTTTTGTCTTTTCTCCCACTGAATTTGTAGTATCAGTCCATGATATATGCTTTCCTAGATTTCCAATTGGATGTGCACACGTAGACATGTCCTATATGGTATTTCGTATGAGACACCACGTAGGATGCATATGTCTACTCATCCAACTTTATATAACTTTAAGTATATACACTCAAAGTTGGAGGCATGGATATTTGTTGAAGTCAAGTTAAAATGATATGTTTTTATGTGTTATACAAGAGATCTTATTTCCTCGGGGAAAAAACAAGTTTCATATATGACATTCCAAGTTCATTGTCTTTGTCTCCCCGCCAAATATTCTGTTTAGTCCAAAAAATAGAAAGGTTGTGCCTGGTCAAAATTGTATAAAATGGAGTAGTTGATCCATCAATAAAGCTTGAAACTTGTTGCTAAATAATCTTATCTTGAGATGATGCAGGGCCAAGAAGTTGTCAATATTCTAATGATAGTAATTTATATTTGCTAATTTTTCCTGTGTCTTTGATTCCAAAGAGACAATGACACCTTCCTACTCTCCACAACAATCACCTTAATTAAAAATGTATTCAGATGCAAACAATGTTACATAAAATACTCAAATGTTGCCATCAGCCATTTTGGCATCTTCATATATTACTCTAATCAATCATCATTAATCAGTTTGCTATATTTCTTTCAGCTCAATAGAAACAAAGCATGGACAGACTTGTTAAGCCTGATTTGGAGGAACTCAAACTCTGTTTCATCAAAGGCCAAAAGTGTTGTGCAACTTTCAAATTAACCAATCTTATGCATACCATGTCTGTTGCTGTTGGTCTTTCTACTACCAACCCTTCTCTTTTCTCATTCTCACATCCATTTACTATTATTCCTCCTCTCTCGACAGCTTCCTTCACTCTTTTCTTGACTAATTCTTGTGATCAACCTCCTGTTTATACGCCTTTAGACACCGTTGTGGTTAAGTCGTCTATGCTTCCTACTGGTAAAGCAAGTGAGGATGATCTTCGCCGTCTTTTCTCAAGAAGTGGACGACATATTTTCAAAGATGCCAAGATTCCTATTTCCCTTGTTGGTCCACAAGTTGTGGAGTTTCTTCTTTCATCCAAGAATTTATTGGATGTTAGTTTACTTCTCCCAAAAGCCTTGTCTTTGTGTGATGGCTGTCAGCTTGATTCATTGCTTAATTCTGCTGCTAAGAATGGAAATTCCCACTTTATTTCAGCTCTGATTGAGGCTGGTGCTGATGTTAATAGAAGGGACTCGGATGGAGACTCCGTTATGTCACTGGCTGTGAAATATGGAAATCTTGATTCTGTTCAGGTTCTGATTGAGTC